TTTTCTAGTAGTAGGATTGGGAGTGGCATTAGCAAGCTAGAGAGTGTAACTAGCAAGCTAGAGAGTGTTACTAGCAATTGGGCCTAGAGATGGGCCTAGGCAAAATTTTACATATTAGACTCATTTTACTCCTAATTTTTCATAGATTTGATTTAGCTAGGTTTCATTCACATTGGATGAACCTAACTAAACCAAATCAACATTTTTTCAAAACCGGTTGGAGTAAAATAAAGTCATGAGCCACCCACCTTGATTTGTGTTCACATTGCTTGTTCACACTCAAGCTTAGAAGCTTGAAGCACAAGCTTCTCCTTAGCTTGCTTACCAAGCAAGCTAAGTGAGTAGCTTTCTCTCCAAGCCTCTAGTCCATGGATGGTTAGCTATACCTTACCATGGTTCCTAGTGAACCATGGTTAAGGCTAGCTTGCTCTCCAAGCTTCCTACTCCTATATTTTTATTTTTCCTTCATTGTAAAACACTTTTGGATGATATTTTTGAGTGAGATCAGAATTTGCACGAAAATTCTCTCTTCCAAAAGTTTTTAACCTCTTTGATATTCATCCAATTCTCTTATCCCTTCCATAGAAGAGTGTGGTGAGAATTGAAGAGACTTATCTCTTCACCAAGGAGTGGCGTCTCTTGAGAGAGTTCCCCACCAAACTGTGGTGGTTCTAAGGTCTCCTCCTCCATTGGAGACCTTATCAAAGCTTAGGAAGAATCAAGGAGCCGAAGATCTAGGGAGGAACTTGAAGAGGATTCACATCAATCCGGATTCTCCAACAAGTTTTCCATCAACTAACCTTGCAAGTAGTTGTTTTATTTCCTCATTATTTCTAGCATTCTCTTTTTCTAATCTCTTCTTCTCTTTTTATATTTTCTTCCTCTTTTTTTCACCAATATTCCTTTAACTCTCTATGTTCATCCCTAACACTAGACCTAGTACTACGAGAATTATGATCATGTACACTAGAATGATCACTCATCTTTGTTCAAAAAGGTTCTCACAAATATGTTGTAAAAAGATGGGTACAAAAAGTTTTCACAAAGACTGAGTGATAAAAAGGTTTTCACAAAAGGTTTTCAAGGGGCAAGATTGGTATGAAAAGTCCTAAGTGTACAAAGTTAACTATCAAGGGAGGTGGACTACAAGGAATCACTTAAAAACCAAGCCTTTTTCAAGTAAGAATCACTAAGCCTTTTCACGCTTTTCTCACAAAAAAAAATTTCACAATACTTGTGTGTGTGTGCACGACCCCTAGTAGGCAACTTGTAGCCTTTTAAAAAAAACAAGTAAGAATAAAGAGCCTAAGCAAATATACTACTATAGCTATAAAACATGCAAAGAAAAGCAACTTAAAGCATATTCTAGTCGGATTCCCTAGGGTGGGAGCTTGAAGTGACCTTGGTGGTATTCAAGGCACTCCCACAAGCACTACTTCGAGTCACCATAAACTAATAGGTTTAAAATGGCCAATTACAACCCAAAACAATTGAAAAAAAAGGCCCAAATTATAAGAGACCAAAAATTGAACAAGAAAGATACAAGTAAGAAAGCAAAAATTTCAAGTCTTCAACTCTTCTAATTTGGCTCCCCTTAACAAGGAACAAACTATGTTAGTCCTCTCCTTTAGTGTTTGAACTATTTGAGATATGGTATCCTTCTCCAAAGCACTTGGGATCTCCACGAATTTGATCTCTACTCAATCCCCCAAAGAAATTTGCTAAGGGTTTTTGGAAGTAGTACTTCACCTACACCGAAAGATAGCAAACCAACCAATAACAAGACACCAATGAGGATGAAAATCAAGACTCAAAACAGATAAAGACTCAAAGAGATGAAAAAGGAAGCTAGTTACCCTTGAAGATAACCAAAGCTCATGATACCAAAATGATGGACTCCTTCCACCATGGGAGAGACCAAGACGTCCAAGGGGGGAAGAAAGGCTCATTGCCATGGCCAAGAAAATGGCTTTAGGGGCTGGACTTTCCTTCAAAGGTAGGGAGAAAAGGAGAATGGGCGTATGGTGTTTAGAATGGGTGAATATGAGAAAATAGGGGAGAAAGGTGTCTAGGTAGTTCCAGGTTGGCTCACTTCACCAAGTGGAGATGAAGGCCACTCAATAAACCCTAAACTAACTCAAGGGAAGCAAGGGAAGGTCTAGGCCGTGATGACCTAGGTGACTAAGGAGAGGATTTGAGGCAAAAATGCTAACTCAAATTCATATATTCCAAAGTGTGTACAAGGTGCTAGGCTAAGGGTATTTATAGGAGTAGGAAGACATCTATGGTTGCATTTAGGGTTGCATGCCCGTGTAATGCAGCCCAAATGCAAGCCAAATGAAACCTAAATGAACCCTAGATGATGTGTGCGTTCCTTCCTAACAAAAGACCAAAATACCCTTTAACCTAAAAAATAGAAAAAAATGGACTTTAACCTCACAAGTCAAGGTTTAAGCCCTAAAATAAATCCTAAACTAATTTGCCCCATAATACAAAGGCTAAATGAAAATAAATAATAAAATCCTATTATCTAAAGTACCCCAAAATACAAGGGTAAAAAAAGAAATAAAGTAATAAAATCCTATACTACTCAAAATGGGCCTAGGAGATGGATCAATACTCCACACTCATTATGAGTATGGCTCTAGGCATGGTATCTCCTTCATCTTCCTCCATTCTCCTAGCCATGGACCTGGTAATGGGTCCAACATGAAGCTCCAAGGGTGGCCCTCCATCAAGCATCTGTCCTCAGATTGATATCTTCATCCATATCCTCAGCTCCTAAAAATGGTGTGAGATCGCATTAAAAGATAAACTCGTGCCATACTTAGAAGGAAGATCTAATTGATATTCATTATCATTTATTTTGTGAAGGACTTGGAATGGTCCATCTCCCCTAGGGCTTAGCTTTGACATCCTTTGAGTGGAAATCTATCCTCCCCCAAATGAAGCCATACCCAATCACCAAACTCAAAGGTGATTTTATTTCTTAATTTTTTGTTGTATTTGGAATATCTTTGTGTTTGTTTTTCAATTTGACTTTTGATTTTCTCATGATATTTCTTAATAAAATCCAACCTAGATACTCCTTCTTTGTGAAACAATGAAGAAGTATTAGGGAGTGGGAGTAAATCAAGAAGGGTTATTGGGTTAAAACCATATACAACTTCAAAGGGTGAAAGATTAATAGTCCTATGAACTACTCTATTGTATGAAAATTCTAGGTGGGGGAGACCATTATCCAAGTTTTCTTATTCCCTTTTAGGAGTACCTTTTGAAGTTAACGGAAAAACACATAGAAGGAGGGTTGAATGTGTATGTGAACGAAGGAACTTTAAAACCGTTTTCGGAAAGAGACTCTTTTTCGTCCAGTAAAATTATTATTTTGAACACTTTAAAAACTGTGCAAGGTTGGCTCAACTAAGGTGTTTTGCGTCTGATAGTTTATCGTCTGTACAAGAAATATGTTTCTTAAAATAATAAGTTAAGAAAGATTATTTTCCGTTTAAAGATAGTTACTGTGAAAATAAGTAGTGGAAATTTTTTTTAATATGATATATCAGCTTAAACAAAAATTGTGTCTGAGAAATAGATAGAGAGTGCAAAGTGTTCTATACTGGTTCGCTCGACCTGAGTTACATCTAGTCTCCTTCAACTGAAGGGTTCCACTAATCACAACGGATTACAAGTATTATCAACCACTTCTAGTTCGCCAACTTCACTCGTCAGCGCTAATATTCTTAAACCACTTTTGGTTCCCCAAGTATTATCAACCACTCCTGGTTCGCCAACTTCACTCGTCAGCGCTAGTATTCTTAAACCACTTCTGGTTCCCCAAGTATTCTTTCAACTAGCCTCTTCAGGCTTTATAACAAATAGATGTTTTGAGTGTGTGTAACTCTCACAGAGAGGATGAGATGGTTTCTACACTCGCTAAGGTATACAACCTTAGTTTTATAGAGATATGTGTTTTGAGTGTGTGTATAATTCTCACAGAGAGGATAGGATAATTTCAACACTTACTAAGATAAACTTTCTTAGATTCACTACTACAAGATGCATATTTTACATCGGTTCTCTAAAGGCATCTACATCAGTTCTAAAACCGATGTAGAATAGAGCGACGTAAAAAATATATACATTTTCACATCGGTTCTGAAAATCCGATGTAGATTTAAGCATAAATTTACATCGGTTCTGAAGAAAACCGATGTAGATTTAAGAATAAATTTACATTGATTCTTTGGAGAACCGATGTAAATTTATTCTTAAATCTACATCGGTTCTTCAGAACCGATGTAGATTGCATTTTTTTTAAAAAAAATTATGCTTATTTTTGCACAAACAGAGCCACAAAAAATATATAGCTACAACAGACAAGCAAATAGAAGGGTTATAGCAGTAAAACTGTTGTAAAAGTATTTATTAGAAAATATTACTGAATGTTCTGTTTTTCATAATTCTTCCTAAATAAAATGGACAACTGTAAGGTATACAAGTAATTCTTCAGGAAATGATGATTTGGGCCCTGAAATGGTACCAAGAGCTTGAAGCAACCCCATCACATCCTCAGTATCATCTAAGTAGTACTTAGCTTTACTTGGTTTCTGACCAACAGTGCATGAAAAGATTTCTGGTGCAGGAGAAGAGGTTCCACCGTAAGCTTTGGTTAGTAAGCTCTCAAACATATCCTTGTCAGATCTATCATCCCCTATGCACAGTACAAAATCTGGCGATTTCCCTTTCTTGGTCATTTGGGACAGGATGTCCTCTACAATTAGCCATTTAGTAATCCCATGCAATGTTGATTAACCAATATTAAAACACATGAGAATAGTCATATGTTGAGAAATGAAGAGATAGATATGTACCTGTGACTTAACTTCAATAATATGCTTTCCCTTCTTTACAAAAAAGGGTTCATTTGCAAACAAATTTTCAAAATGATCCAATAGCTCCTTGGCTTGCCAAGATCCAGAATCAGGATAAACATTATAGTAGTGCCATACCAAGGCACTCTCTTTGGTCTCTATATAAGAGCCATTTGTTGCCTCAGTATACATTCTCATCACAGGTTCAACAATTTCTTTCCCAGAAAAATTGGTACTTATATGATTCTTTTCCCAAGTTGACTGTGGACTCCATCTGTGACAAAAGACAAAACAAGACATGGTGATGCAAATGGCTTTATAAATTGAGTATGTGAAAGATTATAATCTGAATACCTATTAGAACCATAAAAACATACTTCCACTACTAGACAATAAGAAACAAACCCATCAGAGGAAAATATAAACCTGAACAACGTAGTTGCCATACTGATCTTGAGCTAACATGCTAACTGCTCCTAAAATCTCATCCATAACTTTCTGCTGAGTTATAGGATCTTTGCAGTGCTCCAATACCCTCTGTCACATAGAAGGTTATGCATAAACATTTCAACAGTTCTATTTCAAGAAACCCATAAACCAAAATTCATGATTGTCTACCGAGATCACCTGGATGTATTTTTCAGCAGGATTGGTCGTGTTTGATGAAGGATTCACTGATTTTAGCTCGTGTAATGGAATGACTACCTGATGCATAAACCAAAGCATTCATTAACTGCCATCTGCACAAACCAAAGCATTCATTAAAATGCACAGCATAACAGCTTAATAAAATTTTTACTTTCAGTATTAAACACCAGAAAAATTCAATCAATAATAGCACATATTAACTGCCACATATAATGATTGAATTAAAAATATAAATTACATATTAGAAGAAAAGAATAAAAAATCCCTGGAGCAAATTATAAGAATATAACATGTTTGGTTGGATCTTTCAGTTCTAGGTACAACAATAACCATGCACCCAGTGATCAGACATTGTGCCAAGGACAGATCCTTGATAAATAAGAATACAGTAGTCCTCGTAACATTAGATAAATATGAATTAATAATGTGTTAATCAACCAAACTAAGTGCGTTGGGTTTACACATATACAATAACCTCCCTGTATCCAATATCCTCTAAACAAAACTGTTTAATCGCAACTAATGTAAACGAAGCAACATAGCTCAAGCCAAAAAAGAAGCTAACACCGAGAAAATTGGTAAACAAGGTTCTTAAATGATAAAATCGATAAGAAGATTAATCTTCTTCCTCTCCTTCATTCTCAGCAATGTTGAAGTACCTCAGTTCATAAACACTTCTATCTTTGTTAGAAGCAATCACTCTGAGCCAATCCCGAACATTGTGCTTCTTCAAGTACTTCTTAGTCAAGTACTCGAGGTACCTGGAATCATCAACATGAATGAAAGAGCTGAATTTAACAATATTTTGTACATAATGTACAACTGGGATGGATGTAGAAAAATATATATAAAAGGGAAAACAAACCACGTACGTACATAATGTACAAGTGGGATGGATGTAGAAAAAGATATATAAAAGTCCAATATGCTTTTGTTAGCTCCGAATGTTTGAAAAAACAAAAGGCTAAATAATATAAATACATGATAATTAAATAAGATTAAAGTTAAATATAAGTCTGTCAAGTTACACGGATTGAACACACCATTTGCAATTTGCAAGTATGGCGAAGAAAAGGCAATATGATAATTAGCAGCAAATTACACTGAAAAGGGAAACACAAGAATAGTTCATACGGCATATACTAGCAACCCCTCATCATTGAAGCACAAAAAGGATAAAACAACATGTTGATTTGGTGTCTTTCAACACAAACTCAAAGTACAACCATCTCTTTGTGACCATATCGATAGGTAACACGCATAGCCTACGAATTAAAACCAAACAAAGTTGAACAAAAAACCCAAAAAAAAAACTAATAAAAATAAAAACCTTAGACCTGTTACCATAAGACAATAAAAAATAAATATTGTTGTCAAATATCCTCCTCCAACCATATGACCCAGAATAAATGGTCCATATTCAGCAATTATAATCTATTTTCAAAACCAAAAACCTGAATTTTTTTTCCTACACGTATCCTTTACCTTTTTCAAAATCTCAAGCCGAAAAACATTATGATTATTAGAATATAGAAATTAACTACACTTCAGCAAAGCCACTACCTAGAAATTACTATGGCAGAATCAATACCTTCAGAAATTGAAAATCAACATATATTGAATTTCCGGCCAAGAGAGGTGTGTAGGCACTAACATGTCTCTTAACAAATTCAATAACCTAAAATTTCACAAATCGTAAAAGATAATAAATGAATAAAACAAAGGGAAAGAGATTCATTCACTACATTCCAGAAAAGACCGAAAGTAGTACTTCAATTCATCACAGATCAAGTGGCAACATATAGGAAAATGGATCTCAGTTTACAGACATTTTCAACACAACAAGCAAATGTGAGATATAATGGATATATTTATGCATTTGAGTTGGAAACGAAGACACCTAATTTTGGATTGGGTCAAAAACGGTGGAGAAGAGATTGAGCATCCCAGCGTGCACCATCACAGGCTCATGGCCTTCCTTGTTGCGACGCGCCGAGAACACTTCCATGTCACCGATACTATCCAACGCCACCAACTTCCTCCAGTTCGACTCTGTCGATGCCGCCACCATTTCCACGCCGGGGAACGCCATGTACACCACGTCGCCGCCACCCTCCGTCACGAAATTTCGTGGCACGGTGGCGGCCACCGAGGTGTATAGCCTCCACGACTCTGACAACAGCGGCGTCGAACGTTGACACCATCTCGCTCGTCTCGAATCTGACATCGTGCCAGGTAATCACTCGTTTGATTTTCCCCAGAGCGCGGCGAACCTCTTCCCCGACGCGAACGAGAGCAATCGCGTGAAAAACCCTAAAGGCGAAGTGCGGAGGGGGAGTCTGGAGAAGCTTCCCAACCTCAACCCTAAACACCAAATTCAAGCCAACCTCCTTCACCTTCGTCTCGACGGCAGAAGCAGAGCGAGGAGACGAGCTGCGCGAAGGGACTCAGGGAGGCGGCCGCGGCGGGAGAGCTTTAGGTTTGAGAGCGTTTTAGGTTTGAGAGTGAGGGTGCATCTGAGTGGTCGCGGGGGTGGGGAAGAATTTAGTCACCCCTTCTACATCGGTCAACACAAAACCTGATGCAGAATAGTTCATTATTTTCATTTTTACATCGGTCACTCATATAACCGATGTAAAATTGTTTATATTTACATCATTTTTTAAAATAATCGATGTAAATATTTTTATTTATTAAAGTTATTTACGAAATTTCCACCGCACATTTTTTTTACATCGTTTTGTAAGGAACCGATGTAAATATGGTGACGTAGAATAGTGTTTTCCTAGTAGTGATTTACACAAATATACAAGGCTATACAGGAAGAGATGTAAGTTTTCTTTTACGTTCGCTCTTGCTTATTACTCGTTGCTTCTCTTTTCTATCCTTCTCTTGTTAGGTCTTGATATTTATAGCCTCGTGATAAATCTGCCCATTGTTTGAATTTGAACGTGTCCATTGGAGCGGAGCTTCCCGTTAGTGCAGATAGTAGATCGTTCATGGCTATATATATCCTTCACATCATCAAATCCAAGTATTTGTGTCCCTAGGGTGAAGAGCAATGTATGCCTTCTTGAAAGAGTATCAACCACCACATTGTTCTTCCCCTTCTTATATTTGATGATGTACAGGAATTGTTCAAGATATTCCACCTACTTTGCATGCCTTTTGTTCAACTTCCCTTGCCCTCTAATGTAGTTAAGTGACTCATGGTCGGTATGTATGATAAACTCTTTAGTCACTAAGTAATGCTCCCAAACTTGGAGGGATCTTATGAGGGCATAGAGTTCCTTGTCATAGGTGGGATAATTCAAGGTGGCCCCATGAAGATTTTCACTAAAGTAAGCAATGGGCTGGCCTCTTTGAAGTAACACGGCACCTATGCCAAAATCGGATGCATCACATTCTAACTCAAAGATTTGAGAAAAGTTTGGGAGAGCAAGAATGGGTGTATTGGTGAGTTTCTCTTTTAGGATTTTAAAAGCTTTTTCTTAGGCTTCACCCCAAATGAATGGTACATCCTTCTTAACAAGATCATTAATAGGGGATGCAAGTGTGGAGAAGCCTTTCACAAATCTTCTATAGAAGCTTGCTAAACCATGAAAGCTTCTAACTTCTCCAACACTTTTTGGGGTGGGCCAATCTTGGATGGCTTTTATTTTCTTGGGGTTGTAGACACCCAATTTCGTTCGAACCCACAAAAGTAATGAAATGGACATCTATTATCAAGGAAAGAAGCTCCCGAAGCATGAAAACAACAGGACATGACATCAATAGGCCTAGAGCCCAAATAAGCTAGTTTTAGTCACCTGGAACAGGCTATTCCAAAATCAGAACGGGTCATTCCCAAGTTGGAATGGATCGTTCATAAATTAGAACGGGTAGTTCCCAAACTGGAACGGGCCGTTCTAAGTTACAAAAAAGGTCTAGAACCATAGTTTGGAACGGGTCGTTCCAGCATAGGCAGTTATGTGTTAAACTCAACTCTGGAATGGGTCGTTCTGGTTTTAGAACGGGTCGTTCCAAGATACAAAATTAACACATAACGTACAGATACAGAATGGGTCGTTCTAGCAACTTTTGATGTCTGTAAATAGCATACTCGGGCACAGTTCTTAGGGCCATTGTAGTGTGTTAGGTCACCAAAAAGTTCCTAAAGGTCTCCATATTTGAAGATCTAATAAACCTCAAACAAGAGGTATTTCAGTCAACACTCTTATCTCCTTCTATTTTCTTATTTTTTAATATTATTGCAATAAATGCAGTCATGTAGACATTTTAGGGTCACTTGCTTAATTTAAATTTAAGCATGTAAATAGCAATTCATTAAAGGGGACTAATATTTAGATTATTAATTCTTATTGTGTTATCTTCATCATAGGGTACCGATTTAGGGCGTTGTAGGGGTGATTAATACCTTCCCTACGTGTAAACGACCCGCGAACCCAATTTTGGTTATCAAGGCCATTATTGGACTTTTAAAAACCTTTTCTTTTTCCAATGTTTTGAGTAAAACATTGGTGGCGACTCCATGAACTCATTTTTTAAAACCATTAGTTAAGGATTAGTCTGGTGTCCAGGTATTCCTTAATTGATGAGATTTTCAATTGGATGTCTAAAGCATTTAGTCACGAGATTGGAAATTTTTGGGTTGCGATAAGGGTTAACATGTACTCCCTCTTTGCCAACTATGAAGCCCCAAAAGTTTACTTGTTCTTGACAAAATGTGCATTTTTCAAGGTTGGCATAGAGGTGGTTGACCCTAAGAATTATTAGGACTTTCCTTAGATGTTCAAGATGTTCATCTAAGGTTTTGCTATATACAAGAATGTTATCAAAGTAGACAACTACAAACCTTCATATATAATCCCTAAGTATATTATTCATTAGACGTATGAAGGT